TTTGAGGTGACCAAATACTTATTTTCCACCCTGATTTATGAATAAATTCTTTACAAATCCTACCATGTGAATTCATGGATTTTTTTTTCACATTCTGTCTCTCACAATTGAAGTGTACCTCTGGTGCAAATTACTGACCTCTGTCATCATTTTAAGCGGGGGAACTTGCACAATCGGTGGCTGACTAAATACTTTTTTGCCCCACTGTATGTGTGGTGATGCAATGAGCTGTGACGAAGACTTTCCCCTGTGAGTGTGGGGTCTGATAACAATGTGTGGACAAAAAGTCAGTGCAGACCTCTCCAAAACCGATATGAAGCACAGTGATGTCCCACGGATGTCTGGTGCAGCAAAGGGTCTAGGGTCTCTTTTTTCTAAATTTCTGGCTACTGTAGCTTTTTATATTTCAACTTTGCTTCCTCTGTCTGACTAACAAGAAGAAGGAAGGTCGAGCTAGAGGTGACAGAGTTGAAGATCCTAAGATTTTTATTGTGAGTGACCAGAATGGATAGGATTAGAAATAAGTACATCAGGGTGACAACTCAGGTTGAGCCGTTTGGAGACAGGCAAGGCTGAGATAGTTTGGACATGTCCAGAGGAAGGATAGTGCACATATTGGACATAATGTTGAATATAGAGCTGCCAGGCAGGAGGAAAAGACTCATGGATGTAGTGAAGCAGGATTTGCAGAGGATTGGTTTGTCAGAGGATACTGGAATAATGTGAGATGGAGGTGATCTGCTGTGGTGGCCTCTAAAGCGAGCAGCCAAAAGAAGAAGAGGAGCTTTTTCTGGTAAATTTGTTTAGTCTTACTTATCTGGCTCATCAGGGTAAAGCAGTATATAAATACTTCCTTCAACTGTGGTTTTGTGGACTCATGAATAATTCATCACTGTCCTGTTTAGCATTAAAGCTCATTAAATCAAGCACACAGACACTGCTTCTCCAATCACATCACTGTTTACCCGTCAGCTGACGAGACACCACAGAAACGAGCTGTTAAATCCTGACTGAGATACTGTTTGATTTATTTTCAGTAACATTGCCTCGACCTTAACGTTAGCTCATGCTGTCCTCATCGTCTCTCTCCCTCTGCCTGTCACTTCAGTTCTTTTAAAGGCATTTATCTCCCTGGTTGTTTGATGGTGGAAAAATAAAAAGACCCAAATTTAAAATGTCTCCAAGCACAACATCAGAGGAAGAGAAGAATGTGTTTGACAAAAATAAACCGTGATCTTCAAAATGTCACCTTAATACCTGAAGTTAACAAAATGCCAAAAAAAAGTCTGAAAATGTAGATTTTTTTTTTTTTTGTTATGTAAATGAAAAGCTTCCTCTCCAACTTAAATTTATTGGATACAAAGATAACTGCCTGTCACGCTAATGTGACAGCTGGTTGGATTTCAGTTTATGAGTGGCTGCAGGTAAGTTAGCATGCTAGTTAGTTTTCATCCATCCATTCTTTTTCACCTATCATTGTCAGGGTCGCGGGGGGGCTGGAGCCTACCCTGGACAGGCCCACTTCTGTCGCAGGGCTAACAAAGAGACAGACAACCATTCACACCTATGGGCAATTTAGAGTTACCAATTGCCCTAACCCAACTAACCGCTTGTCATTGGACACAAACACAGGGAGAACATGCAAACTCCACACAGGCTGAACTCAGGACCTTCTTGCTGTGAGGTAACAGTGCTAACCTGTACTTCGGTGGACACCAACCTTTCCAGGTTGTCACGAGAGACTTTAAAAATACATTTATTTAAAACTCATTATGTGATCTGAAGTCTATGCAAAACCATCCTCACTTTCTTTCAAGCACATACTGATGCTTAGTCACGACCTTAGTCATCATGTGGGAATACAGTGGGTACCCTTTTAGTGTTTTTTTTTTTCCAGAGTTACTACTCCTACTACTCCAACACAATTCAATAAAAAGCCCTCCATGTCTAAAATAGATTCCATGAGACCAGACCAGGCCTAAAGTGCTCTGCTGGTGTCATCAACAGCAAAGTAGTGAAATGCATAACTACAGTAACCAAGGGAACAATGGAAAAACTTGTCTATGTACATTCTCACTCATCAGCACCATTGTAGAGGTCCAGATACCTTCTTTTCAAAAGCAGTGGAAAACATTGTTGCAGGTAACATAACTTTGTCTTGTGTTGTTAGGTAAGTCATAAGTCAAGATATTGTTCCTTCATACAGTGTCCCATTAAAAGAACTGGAGACTGAAAGTGTCGACAACAATTGTCTGAATTGTACAAGAAGAATTTAAAGCTTTAAAGAAGAACTATTGAATCCCAGGAAAACCAGCCAGTTTAACTGCTTCAAAAACCTTCAGCAAAATGATCATTCGCTGGATGAACCCACATCAGTATTTTCTCTCCAGAAAAGTTGTGAGTTCCAAAGTTATTGAAGGACTGGACAACCTGCACACAATTTAGTGCATGTCCAAGAGTTCTCTTCTCATGAAAATAATACTGATAATAAATAATTAAATAAAGCAGTCTGGGCTTGAGTCAACAGCGTGTACACTGCGGGACACTGCTGTGCTTCTAAACACAGCTCCGCTGGATCAAACAGCAGCATCAGCCCCGGCTGCACTCAGCCGTGATGCCGAATCAACTAAAAGCACAGCAGCAGTTTCTTTTTAGTGTTGGTGAATGCCCTGGGACCGCTGAGTGTGTCTGAACGCAGCCCCGCGAGACTCAACAAGAGCAAAAGAAAGATTTCAACTCCACCTACAACAAACAGCTTCAGTTCATCAGCTGATGAGACCTCGAGAGCGATTCTCAGCTCAAGTGAAACACAAAAGACTCCACATGAAAGACAAGAAAAAGAACATAACGTAAGAAAAGCTGAGGAAACTTTTGTTGAGAAACTGAGCAGGTCAGAGTCATTGTAAATGTCAACTACTGTACAAAAACATGACAGACTGAAGAGAGAGAGAAAGACCTGGAAATAAATGATGGGAGAAAACAAGAACAGGTAAAAGTAAAGAAATAAAAAAAGGAAGGAAGCTGATGAAGTATTGATGGAAAAGAAAGTGGGTCGATAAAACAGAAGAGAGTAAACTCCAAAGGTTGTAAAAGATGTGAATAAAACATGATCGGAATCAAATATAAATGAAGTATAAAAGATGTAAAGGTGGTAAAGAATGAGAGAGGAAACAGGAAAAGTGCCTTTTCAGGAAAAAAGATCCAGCAAGATCACTGAAAGACAAACTTAGTGCCTAATGTAGCGTGAAATGAGGGGTTTCAGGAGAATTGTTTCAGCGGTGAATGACTGAATGAAGAACAGATGGAGAGACATGTCAGGAATAGGACTAGCAGTCTAAAGGCCAACTAGTGTCCAGAGACTCCAGCTCCATAATGCCTATTCTTAGAGGTACAAATTAGGTCCATCCAAAGAGCGGCATTTGTAGAAGGGCCATATGGACAAACCAGAGTGACTAACTAACTAACATTTTTCAAACTTGTTTAACCAAACTTTTTATGCATAAGCTGGATACACTTACAAAAAAGGACTACAAATATTTCAAAGATTCTGCAGTCATGCACTGCTGGTAGCTACAGTGACAGCACACATCGCTTTTAAGTCTCTTGTTGATTGCTCAACTAGAGCTGACTGAGCCTGGTAACAGAGTGGTGGCTTGTACAGTAAAAACTTGTCAATCATAAGGTAGCCATGTCTGAAAGCATACAGTGAAAAAGAGTTTCATCAACTTAGTCTTTGATTCACAAGCTTGTAGAACTTTCTTTAGTAGCATTTACTTGAAGTACAGTGGAACCCCGACTTACGAATACCCCAACGAACGAAAAATTCAAGTTACGAAGGCACTTAACGGCAATATTTCTGCCCGTGTTACAGCAAAATGCCCACGTAATGAAATCCACTGGCTCTGATTGGCTGGGCCCAGAATGCCTACAATGCCCACAATGCCTTCTGAATCATGTGACAACCCCCTTGGCTTTCGTACTTGCGCTTCGCTGTTCCACTTGGACGTATTGTTGTTGCAGTTAGCAATTAGCCTATAGCCTATCGTTCACTCAAAAGGCGCAATGGGTGCTTTGATTTACGAAAATTTTCGACTTACGAAAGACCCTCGGGAAGAAATTAATTTCGTAAGTCGGGGTTCCACTGTACGTAATTTTTGTACGACTTTCTCAGCATCTCACATCAGTCTGAAGGAATATTTGAGGTGTTTGTGCTGACATGCTCTGTTTGGTTTTCTACAAATATGCTGCTGTGCATTATGTACAGACATCTCCAACCCTAACCCACTAATGCTACCAAGGCACGTAGTTTTTAATGGGCATCAAATGAATATTAGACTACAGGCTAACAGAACAGAATGTTTGTCGTGCTAGTTTGTTAGCTTGGCTACACTCGATTATAATTGCCATCTTGTTACTGTAGAGCTTCCATCACTCTTGGGTGCATCAAAGTAAGTTTAATAAAATGACATATAGTTTATTACAATCTCTGAGAAATAACAGACTATTAAAAGATCTGACAGCTTTCAGTTCCCTCACCTGTTGTTTTTTCTGACTTCCTCTCCATACAGGAAGTGCTCCTGGCTGACTGTGATGTAATATGTAGGGAGCTGCTCTGATTGGTTCTTGCTGATGGTGACAACAGGGTAGCCCATTTGTAGAGTCCACCTGTCCATCATCTCCCCGATGTCAATATCTCGGCCCTCTGAGTGCATGGCCTTTAAAGCAGAATCAAACACACACGTAGCGTAAATGATCAATGACTAATAATGACCAATTTACACACATCCAATCAGTGATTAAAATAATCTGTGTGGGAGAAAATTGACCTTGACATAATTAGATATAAGACTGGCAGCTAATTAAAGAGCAGTGTCAGTCTAATTGACAGTGCTAACAGAAGTGACGCTCAATTAATCAAATCATTGCCCCTCCTGTGTCGGACAAACAAGAAAACAAGCTCCACCTCATGTTACCACAGCAACAGGCTCCTCACTAAGTCAGGTGATAATGAGCATCTTCATTAGAAGTGCTTTATTAAAGAATGAACAGCTTCAATCAGTCTGGCAGCTCTGTCCGAACAGAGCCAGTTGAGGAATAGTTACAGGTTTTAATACCTGCTACTGAGCAAGGCACTAACATTAAAGTTAAATGCTCTGCCTTGAAGCCTTTGGGGCAGGGAAGTACACAAGGTTTAAATACCAGATAGACATAAAGTCAGGTGAGGGTTACCTGAGACAGTTTCCTCCACAGGTCGTCTCTGGCAGCATTGCTGTACATGTGACTCAGCAGATAATCCTGAAAACAATGAGACAAAGCTATGTTAAAGCAACACTGGTATGATGTGATGTATCTGTTGTATCATCTTGATGCATGCACATTCATCCAGGTTAGGAAATCCCAGAAAGCTGATTCTGTTCATCTGTAAGAAGACTGAAGAAGTCAGTTGGATGAGTGACGAAACATTTCTCCCACTAAAAACGCAACATTGACATGAACAGAATGAACTTTCTGGGATACATATGTCATATTTCTGGTATAATTATTGGCTGATTTTTTCCCTTCGACACTGTGACCATGCAGTTCACAACAGAGAATTTGGAATCCTTGATACAACAACTATCTTTTCCCCATCCTCATATTTCATCTGGAAATAGGATGATCACAGTTAGCACTTGTTGGGTCCTCTCTACCAATGAATCAGAAAAATAAAGTGAGTCCTTTATTACCATGTCCCTGAGCACAGTTTTGATTATTTGGTTCTCGGCAGGCACCACAAGATTGCAAGGATTCATTCACAATGTCTAGCACCCTTCACTGTGACATGTATTTGAACCCTGGCCACAGTAAGTGCCATGTATGTACAATGACTTATTAATGATGCCACTGGAACAAGATATTTCCATTTACAAATTTAATATGACCATACTTTCTGTATGCAGGGCTGTGCAGGTGAAGTTACTTCACATTTTCTGTTACTGCCATCTCTGCTCTGAAAACAAGGATTGGAGGTGGTTCAGGCTCCAGTATTTTCCCCACATAGATGTTACCTTTGTTAGCTGGCTTGGTATTACAAAAGAAAAAAAAAACAAAAAAAAAAAAAAGAAAAAACAAAAGAAAAAACAAAGAAAAACCAGTTGGCATATTTTATTTCGTGACTCATTTTGACCTTTTAATTTTTCCTCATCAGGTTAAGAGAAAGATGCCTTCCACAATCAATTAAACAGCAGACCCCTTCTTTGATAGTTCGGTGGCTGCTTCTCTGCGGCTCCTGACATCATTTGGGTTACTCTTTTGTCCACCAGTCAGCTGTCCTCCTCCCCTGTGCTAGACATGAGCTGGTATAGGCAGTCTTTGTAGAGCTCTGGAGATAAGAGTGATAAAAGGATCACTCTATCTTCACTAAAGGCTCTCCAAGACAATGCAGTTGGAGTGAGATCATGGGGTGAGAGTCTCCCTGAAGAGGCAGTTGATTATTGTGCCTCTTCAAGCTTTGTTATATTTTCAAATTAGGACATTTTTATCTGTAATTATTATTTATTAAATATTATAACTCAAACAGAATCCAGTTCTGTGGGAAACACTGAGGATCCGTGGTGTTTCAAGTCTGTCCAATAACAAGAGGCTCCAGGGGCAGAATGAGGATACACCGGGGTGAATTGTGTTTTTAACTAGCCTCTGGAAGGGCTGGAGGGCATGACAGCGATTGGTGCTCCAGTAGGAAGTGGATGGATGGAAGCCAAAACCATTTATAAGAAGATGCCAATGGCAGTACAATGACTACAATCTAAGGAAGCATAATTTTTTAAAGTAGGTTCTATAACACCAGGCTGTTATGTACACCAGGCTCTAATTTACCATTTTTATTAAGCAGAAGTAAAAATGTCAACTTCTGATGCACTTTATTGGATGTCACACTGACCTGGTGATGGGAGTATGGGGACATATTACATCTCAAAACGCTCCCAAGTCTCTCTTACCCACAGTGCACAAGGTTGTTCATTTTGGCCATGCAGTTGTGAAGCTGTAACTGGCTGAATTCAGGGGTATTCTCTCAGGTGGAAATTTAATGATACCTATGTCTGAATGAATTTCTGAAAAGCCTTTTGAGAGGAACATTTACATGTATTTGAAACTGTACATTTGAAAGTCAGTGACATGATGAGCCAGTAGTGCTTGAGTTAGAGAAGAGCCCGTATCAAGTCCAAAGAGTTTTGGGCTCAATCTCAAACTCCCTGGTTTACATTTTCGAAGCTAATGAACAAGATGAAGACTCCTCAGGGCCATTTTCTCATTCAAAAGAGGCTTAATGGTGTGGTGGCTTTGTTTTCAGCCTGTAGTTCTTTAGTGACATTCGGGTCCGACTTGATCCCAGTCTGTTTTCCAGAGCAAGAAACTCACTCCCACTACAGTGGATTTAGAGTAAATGCTCAGGGAGGGTGGTAGTTGCTTTGGTTCATAGTAAAACAAGGAAAAGGCAGGGAAGCACTACTAGATAACAAAACAGCTATGGAGGCTGAGCGCTAATCTCCTTCTCAGCGATTCCTGTGTCCTTTGTGTGTTTAAGCGTGGATTCCTCCAAGTCAGTCATTTGCTGTGGTGCGTTTTGAGCTCGATAAGGCAAGGGGAAGCTTTTTATTGGAACAAGATGACATATATGATAACGACACTAAGTGCGTTTGGGAGTTTGGCTTTGCCACCTTCACTATATCTGACATGAAGGCAGATAAAAAGAGCCCCCACACACACTCCGAGAGCATGACTCCATTAGTTTTAACAGTGTGATGCACCTTGAACCAAATGTTTTTGAGTGATAATAAGCACTGTGTAACAAATACTGTGGGTATGAGTAGTCAAAGGTCATTAGAGGAAATCAGTAGGTGTAGGAGTTTAAGTAAGGCATTTCGATTGTTGCAGGCAGGGTTAGAGCCTAATGAGGACTTGCTTTCCCTCATCGGAAGATGACTTGCATAAACTTTCAATTTCACCTTCAGTCGAGCTCCTCTGGGCTTCAGAAAGGCTCTAAAACCCAATGATCACTGCAGGCCATTATTTACATCTTCTCCAGTAAGTATTGATAACTGTTAATGAGGTTTCAAGTTTTGTGCCACACTGAAGTCACATTGGGGCAACCATAATCATCACAATCTTTCCACATCAAGTCCAGATGCAGTCTGGGAAACTCTTGATTTTTCTGAAAGCTCTACATATCAGGCTTTGAGATCAGGAATACAGAAAAGGTGAACCAATATTGATGTTTTTGTCCACCAAAGGCCGCTCTTTAATGTAATTAAAGCCAAGCTGATGAGACACTACAGACATGGGCTGTGCACAGTATTTGATCTTCACACAGCTGATTGAGCTGGAGTACACTTAGCCCGAGCTGAAGTCCATAAATCCATATCTCTGTACTCCAGATGTCACTATGTTCCACAACATTTACAAACCTTACAGCACTCTGAAGAATGCTCACAAACGTCCTAAAAATCCTAAATGCTCCCAAAGCATTTCATCCATCACACTAAACACTGCCTAAAAAGACAAATTATAGGAAATAGAGACATATGGCCAGTTGTGGAGATTCATCTTATCTCAAATGATTTTAGAGTATCTAGTTTAAAAATTCCCCAATGTGTTCTAGTTTAACATATTCTCAACCTATTATTTCTCTTTAAAACAGGCACAGAACATTGGTTTTAGTATATATATCAGTCATTTTTGTCACAGTGGAACAACAAAAAAGAAGCCCGTAGATCACAGTTCTTTGGCCTCCTGTTTTGACAGAGCTTTAGTGTCATTTTGTGCCTCTTTGATTTCCTTTTGTGTCTCTTTGGTGTTTTTTGTCTCCATCTGATTTTCTTCTCATTATGGGATAGATTTGCTTCCATTTGTACATGCCTCTTCACCAAGAAAATATTAAGTATACAGAGCTTGTAATGCTAGGGAGGCCTGATGCCCCTGGGCCTTTGGTACAGTAATCCTTCCATGTATATACAATATTAAAATCTACATGAAACCTAGACAGAAATTTCAGCGTTTTCCGTGACTTTCAGAAGGCTGATTTTCTCACTGTTCTTTCTCAAATGCATCAACTTTAATATGTGTGCAACGTCACAAAGGTTCCTTTCATGAAGCATTAAAAGTTACAGTATTATCCTTGGTAAGAAAAGCATAGACGATCATGAATTATTTTGGTTACGGCTCCCGTCATGCCACAAATCACCAGAATGAGACTCCATCACATGGCATTGCAGTTGTTTGGCATGGTTTGTTATACGCTGTATTTTTCACTAAACACCTGATTAGGTGTTGAAACGCTCTGACAAAGAGGTTACGATCGAGAAAGTCTTTGTTGTTGTCATTAATATGAACCAAACTACTGAAGCAAACATTCTCCCGAAACTTTTTTACTCTGCTGGCGACTGAAACGAATGCTCTTATTATATAGTATGTTGTAATGCTCAGCACAATGCATGTGTGAAGACCTCCATAACACACATACATACACACACACACACACAGTGTATTTGCCCTGCTGTGCTGCTGGATCAGCAGTATTTTATATAGACTCTGGCTCTCAGTATGTTCCAGGTCACTGACAGTTTCTGTAGGAAAACCAGGACAGTGTCTGTGTGTGTGTGTGTGTGTGTGTGTGTGTGTGTGTGTGCGTGCGTGCGCAAGGATTCGTACATATTTCTGCAACTCCATTCGAAGTAAAAATTATATTTAACCTCCATCCATGTTACATCAGACGTTGTCATTTTTACTGTAACTGCAAACAGTCTCCTTCCAATTTGGAGGATACAAAGCGTTTCCCTGTGCAATAAACTACCTGACCCTGTTGGTGCGATTGGAGCTTTAGCTGCTCTCGTGTTTCTGTGACACCATCACAGTTTGAACCCTCAAAGAGACACACAGCAGCTACATTTAGCTGAACAACAAACAATGCAACACATAGAGTTAGTTAACATAGCTATTGCTTCATGACTGTGTGTGACAACTACAGTGTAAAAGTCTATTAAAATTGTGAGTTCTACAAAAAATAACTCCTATGTCCCCAAATAACTTCTTCCTCCCCAGTGTTCTAGACAGTTTTTTAAACCTGTCCCCAAATTAACTTTGAGAGAACTAAAAACAATCCAGGGAATGCAGGGTACTTTTTATAATAAGGATTTACTCATTATTGCCTGCATCTGATTGCAACCACGTGACAGACTGATGACTTATCCAAGGTATACCATGATAGACCATAACAGTAGGAATGCATAATAAGTATTTCTAAAGTCCTACTTCCTGTTCTGCACTATCAGTAAATCTATGCTTTGAGTATTACAATTTCAGCGCCTTTTAAACGTGTATTAAATATCTGCATTTTGTTGCTCTGATTGCATCTAGCTTAAATTCAGGTCACTTAAAACTGATCGCAATATCGACAGGGAAACGTGGCAAATCTTCTTCTCAGAATGCCCCGCAAGCCAAAGGTACTTATTCCCTGTTCATCTATATGCACAGCATGACAGTTAGGATTTAGCTAAAATATGGCTGAACACACACACACACACACACACAC